AACAGATCAAATTACTGATGTAATTACTATAACCTGACAATTTCATTAGATTCATGTGGCAGTTAACTATTTAGGACTTACAACAAAGAGACACGGTTCGTTCACAGTAGTTTTTGTGGACAAAGCAAAGTTTACAGTCTGCATTATTTTTGACTACAAGTCTCATGTGGTTTATTATCTCCACCAGCATTATTTTTCTCGTATTCAAAACTAGGGAAAGCGCTGACTGTTTACTATATTTGTAATTTTCCTTCAACAACAAAAACATAAGTTTAAAGGCAAAATTAAACATTTAGAGAATCCCAACATTCTCCTGCCTTGGTGGCTTTGATTTGGCTCTCAGGCACTGTGTAATGGTAAAGGAACAGAATCCTGAGCTCAGTGCTGCTGGAGGAAATTTGCGGTAGCTGCCACTAAGCCATCAAGTAGCCTGGAGAATTCTAAGCTAGAAAAATACTAACAGAACACCCTCAAAGTATTTCCCATAAAGAAAACAGAAGCACACTGGTCATCTTTAATTTTGACTTCTCTTTCTCCCCCATATCCATAAGCTCAGGAATAAAAAAGACCAATTCGGCCAAGGTAAAATACAACTCCAGATCAGTCCCATAAAGAAAACAGAAGCACACTGGTCATCTTTAATTTTGACTTCTCTTTCTCCCCCATGTCCATAAGCTCAGGAATAAAAAAGACCAATTCGGCCAAGGTAAAATACAACTCCAGATCAGTAAGTGGAGAAAGCACACAGAAAGTGACAGAAAAATATAACTCCAGATCATTAAGTGGAGAAAGTCAGACAGAAAATGACAGAAATATCACTAATCTTTGATCATGACACTTTCCTTTCTACTTTTCATCAAAGATTAAAGCTCCCACAGATATATTTCCCAACATTTCCACAGACATATTCCCAATAACCAGAGTAGTATAAGATGTAATTAAAAAAAGATATTTATCTGTTCTCTAGGTGTAGTTGGTGCACTCCAAGCCCTATTCATAACTGAAAGCATCCAAATGTGAAAAGGACAAAGCTCCCAGCTTCAGTTGCTACATCTAGCTGGGAAGATACAATGTTAACCACATTAAAATACAATTAGATCTTGTCTGCTGTTAGCTGAAAAACTGTTACTCTTAGCCTCAGCCCACCAAGCTTACTCATTCACTAAATATTTATTATGTCAGTGCCTACTATGTACTACTTACTATACTAAAAATGGAAACACAGGAAACAAGAAAAGTAGAGTCCTAGAGAGGACTTATTGAGCATACATTTGAGAGAAGTGTATTAGTGAGGTCTATTTAGAAGCATCTTTGCTATCAGTCAGTAGTATCTTCAAACTGCTACCTGCCCAGGAGAAGTGGCCATCCAGCTCCAGCCTCCTTATTTACTCCCTGTGCAAAGAAGCCAGCTCAGCCCAATTGCCTTCTGCTAAAAACCCTTATTCTTGGTTACTCCTCTAAGTTGTTGCTGAAATGAGAGTGCAGTTTTAAACATTATCAACATTACGTCTTCATCTAAATTCCTGTCAATCCCTTTTCTTCAAGGCTAGATCCTGTTTCCACATCAGATCAGAGGCTTCCCTGATGTACAACTGTCAAACACTAATTACAAGAATCATACCAAAAAACTACCAATATACCACTACCTACTGTGGGTCCAGTATTACAAGAGTAGAGTAAAATAATTTAACATTTTGTAGTTGATGTTAACATTTTGTGTATCTCCTTCCTAATTTCTGTGCACTTAACTTGTTTCTAAGTTGAGATCTGCATGTATTATTTTGCATCCTGCTTTATCTCTTAATATAGCAAAATCATTTTACACTTATTTATCAATATATACTCATAAACACATACTCATTACCTCCATTTTAATGACTTTAGGGTGTTTTATCATATAGCTGTACAATGATTTATTTAACTTTTTCCTAGTGTTGGACATTCAGGTTGTTTAGGATTTTTTACTATTATAAATAATGCTATAATAAACATTTCTATGCAAGTTTTGCCTCATCTTTGACTATTTCTCTGGCAGTGATTTTTAGAATAGAATTACTAGGCCACAAATTATAAATGTATATAAAGCCTTCATTGTATCTAACCAAACTGCTTTCTATAAAGGATAAAGTTTATAAACTTCCCTTCCCATTATTATATCTTCTCAAGCATTTACTTAAAAAAAAAAAGATATCTTGATAGGTAAAAAATTATATATCACTGTTGTTTTAAACTGCATTTCTTGGATTACTAATAGGATTAAACTTTCAAATCAAATGTATTACCACTGTATTTTATCTCATCAATTCAACCAAATTCAACCAAATTTTACACAAAAGAAATTAGTATACTTTTAATTAATTCTAAAAGATTATGTTAAGTATAATAACCCTTCTATCACACTTTTCCCAAATTGCCTTGTAACTATATTTATTTTCATGTACAAAATTATGGATCCATATACAAGGGGTCTTCAAAAAGTTCGTGGAAAGATTTATATTATCTTTTAACTCCATTTCCCATGAACTTTTTGAAGTATCTTGTATAAATCAAATTAATTTTTTAGTCTTTCCTTTGTGATACTTCCCACTGCTTCTATGGTTAGAAAGTAATTCCTCAACTAAAGAGCAGGTTATAAAATGTATATTATCTTCATGGGCCGGCCCGGTGGCGCACTGCTGTAGTGCGCCGCTTGGGAAGCGCCGTGGCGCTCCCGCCGGGGATTCGGATCCCACGTATAGACCGGTTCCCGCTCACTGGCTGAGCGAGGCGCGGGAGCAACACCGAGGGCTGCGATCCCGTTGCCGGTCCCGGTCCAGTACGGGGGCGACACTGAGGGTTGCGATCCGTTGCCGGACACGGAAAAAGACAAAAAAAAAAAAAATATATTGGGAGTCTTAAAAAAAATTGGAAAGTTAGATCAATTATATTAAAGATGCCACATTAAAAGACTCCTACTTCTGGTAATACTTGTTTTAAGTCAGTATCCATTTGAAAAATATTTGAGTGTTTACTACACGGTAACATCATGCTACATACCAGGGATACAATGAATGAACTACTACAGTGAACAAGGAGATAAAACATTAAAGAAAGGTTTTAAGAGTGTATGTGGTATTGTAAGGGTATCTTTTCACTTGAATAGATAACTCAAAATGGAGAAAAACACAGATGAAATACACAAGTTTTGGCTATTCAGTGTAATGGTCTCAAAACTGAAGTATCCTTAGGTGTGGGCCAGCATTGGTTTTGGAATCCAAAGACCAGGGTTCAAGTGTTCTGTACAAATATAATATACAAAAAATATAAAGTAAAGAGTATCTTAAGAGAACTACAAATAAAAAGCCATGGAAATTCAGGGGGTAATGAGGTCTCCTGCTAAGAATGGGTTTAAAGAATTATTAATAACCTAGCATGCAGAGATGGGAAGGGAACACTAATTGATCATCTACTGTATGAGGGTAGTTCAAAAAATTCATGGAAAGATTTGCATTAATTCTAGTTTTCCAGGAACTTTTTGAAGTACCTGTGTATGTAAGGCCTTGGGTTAAATACTTCCATACATTATCTATATGATTCTTACAACTCTATTACCTTTATTTTACAGATGATTACACTAATGCTCAGAGATGTTACAATATTTGCCTAAGGTCACAGAGCAAATAAGCCATCCAGTCTGGTCCATTTCCCCTGGTGATCACTGGAAATGGCCACCAGGAGTGTTCAATGTGCCAGGCTGGGCCATACCACCTCAAATAATATTAGTTTCAATAATCAAATGAATATAATGTTATAAAAGCAAAAAAGGGAAAAACTGCCTCTTACGCAGAGGTCAGAGATGGTCTCACAGAGAACACAGTGTTGAGGATCAACTGTGAAAAGAACTATGATTTGAAGAAATTGGCAATGGGAAAGGGAGCATAAAGTGAAACAGACAACAGACTCAAAGGCTAGAACAAGTGCAAGGCAAGGAGCATTGTCCTACCATGTGCGGCTGAAGCCCACGAGGATACAAAATATCACTACGATTTGAAGAGCATAGTTTACAGCTTCTGAGAACAAGTGCAAGGCAAGGAGCATTGTCCTACCATGTGGGGCTGAAGCCCACGAGGATACAAAATATCACTACGATTTGAAGAGCATAGTTTACAGCTTCTCCCCTTTCCATTTCCTCGCTGGAGAGGTACAAATTATTATTTGCATTTTAAAGATAAGAAAACCGAGGCTCAGGAAAGTTGTGACTGGCCCAAGGCCATGTGGCTGGTAAGCAAAGACATGCTTTTAAACCCAGGTTTGGTTCAGTCCTCTCTTCACACTGCTTCCTCTCCTCCTCCACTTCTCTTTTCCCAAGTCTTCACTGATCGGCTACACATTTTTCTCCAACCACAGCTCACAATGATATCTGGTTCTCTAAACATCTACGATTTTCTCTATCTTCCAATTTTATCACTGGATTCTCAGTCCTAAATTGAGAACCATGACGAGGATTAAATGAAAAAGTAAATGAAACACCCAGAATAGAGCCTGTGTTATAACAGAAACGCAATAAAAATTAAGTTCTTTGTTCATCTCCTATCAATTCATGAATTTTAAAATGATCTCTTGGACCAACTGAAAACTCCTTGATGATAACCTTTGCCTGTGATTTCTCCAGCACTCTTTTAGCACCAGGGCAATTTATAGAGAATAAGGCTGATGTTAAACAAACAGTTAACAGGAGTAACAGAGATATAAGGCTCTTTAAAACGAAGGACTAATTTCACTCGACTTATTGAGAAGGAAAATGTACTTAAAAAGAGGCAATGACCAATTACGAAGGTAAAAAGCCGTAACTTCTAGGAATTTTTAACCAAAAAAAGGCTGTATTTATACCATTACTGTCACTGAAGAAAATATGTCTCACACCAAAATGATCGATCCTAAATTATCAAATAAATCCCTAATGATACCTAGGGATGTTCAATTAGCAATTCTCATATTGAGGTCAGTGAGTAAACTCTTACCTCCAAAGGTGAACTGCAAAGGAATCTTGTAAACTGCAGACGCAAATGTGAATAGAATCCATTTCATCCAGTAAATGGACAGCAAAAGAGAACACACAGAAAAAGGAAATAATTATTACACAATATTCCAGTAAGAGCATCTTCAGTAAACTCAAAGGTCTATATAAAATGTTTTCATATATTGTATAATTCATCCACAGAGTACAGAAAGACTCAACTTAGCCGTTAGTAGGTAATCAACAATTTGAATTAGCTTAAATAAATATTCTCAAAAATCTGTATAAAAGCAAATAAAACACAACAAATTAGTCCTAAAATATTTTGTTTTTTAAGTTTTATCTTACAACCCCTACATAATAAAAACACCTTTTAAGGGAGCAATCAGCAATCTTCCTGACCCCAAATGCCACAGGCAAAGTTTAGGAAATGCCAAGAGAGGAAGAAGATATAAACCAATAGGGGAACCAAGAAAAGGGAGAGAAAAAAAACAAGAGAGGAGGTTGGGTGAGTGAGAGTGAGAGAAAGGTGAAGTTTTATTTTCACGATGTGGCACATAGGCTCGGATGTTTACCTTTCTCAGTCCTTATCCCTTCCTTCTTTCCTCCCTTTTTTTTTTCCTCCTCCCCCTTAACTTTCTCGTTCTTTTTATGACACACACACAGGCTTATAGAATATCACCTGTTGTTATATGCTACCTGTTTATCAGCCTTTAAATAAACAAATTATGAGACGAGGGCAGGCATGAACAAATGACAAAACAAACTGCAGGCTACCTCTGAAATGAGGACTGTCACATAACTTCATACATATACATGATGGTAATTCATAATGTTTTCATAGATGTTATTTACAGAAGCAACATTTCAAATCCTTTGAGACTTACTGTAAA